TTAACATCTTGGGGTTCATCACTAGGTAAACAAGAAGAAATGAGTCACCAGTACCCCAAACTATATGAAAAGCCTCAAAAATTAATAAAAGCTTTTCCTTATGCTCAGATACAAGTCCTGCGTCAGAGACAAGGCTCTGTAGGACTCCATGTAACTGCAGCTTGTGAGTGACAGAACTAGGAGGACTTGATTAAAACTGCAGCACAGATACAAGCTAAAGGAGGAGGAGAAATGGATAAGATATTTTGATAGACATGGGGCAACTGTATCTTCTCCTTCTCTTTGGAAAGTATTTTAGTTTTCCTGTGAAGCTGGAAAACTAAGGTCTGAGAGAAAAACCACTTTTCCTGCTTTTTCAAAATCAAAACTTGTTAATGTTTAGGAAAATAGAGGGGAAAAATTAATGTGTACCTAGAATAGCCATTCTTTTTGATGGAAAATAATAGATGAAGCAACGTTTTGTTTAGGATTAGGAGTCAAAGTGTGTGTGTGCTGGCATACAGATAATTTCTGAGAACATCAGAGTTGAAAAGAAGCCTTTCCTCACCCTGTGAGCTTTCACAAGGGAGCAGAGAGCACTCAGCTCCCTGCCCTCACTGTCAGGCAGTGGCCAGTGACAGTGCAGTGTTTTACTATCCATTGATGGTAGCAACACCTCAAGACAATTCTTCACCAGGCAGCCAGCAAGAAACACATCTTGATTTTGTTTGGCCACACAGTTACACACACAGTTAATCCCTGTAACTCCTGTCAAAATTAAAACTCTGATTTAGATCCCAGGAAGAGACTGCTTTGCTATTTTAACGACCCAAATAGCTTTATGGCAGCTGTTACACCAAGATTTGGCTTCCAAACTCTTCCGTGCAGGTCAGACAGATCCCCACAAGGGCAGGGACTGTCACTGCTGGCTGTGCAGGTGCCAGCAGTGGCACCTGCTAGACACCAGTGCCATTTTCTGGCTGCTCCTGCAGGCAGGTGACTGAGAAATGAGCAGTTCAGCTGGGGACATGCTGCTGCAAGCTGTATCACAGCTTTCCAGACACCAGTTTGCTATAACTCTTATCTGAAAGTGCCCTACATCAGCAGGGTAGTCTAGGTTCAAGTGTGACCACAGAGCCCACATGATGCCTGGGTGCTGGGTACAGCTGCTGTCCCCCTGTCCCTCCCCAGTGGGGTTTGCTCAGAGAACAAGCCTCAGCACGAGCCCAGTCAGCATTTCTGCAGGCAGATGGTCTTGGGACCAGAGAAAACTTTCTCACCTAACTTGCTGACTCAGGGTGCTTCAAGGCAATGATCTCATGTCCCTTTCCTCTAATACTTTCTCCCCTTTCAGGAAGCAACTGTTTATTGCTTGTTTGTTGGCAGCTTGGTTACATTGCTGGTTTTGAAATCAAAGGCATCAGTAGCAGTTATGCTCTGTCATTTCTGTGCTGACCTTCAAAATATTGTCAGCTGAAGGGCCATCTGTGATTGTAGTCCAATGATGCAGTCAGGGGTAACATTTCTATTCCATAAGAATTCACAGCGATTTGACATTGATTTTCATCCTGAACTGGAAGGAAAACTTAACACACTCAGACTTTCCCTGTCATTGAAATTCTTAGTGCTGCCTCAAGGAAAATCTGTTGTTATCCATAACACCCCAGCATTTGATAAGGTAACAGTATTTACCTTCAGTAATGCTAAAAAGTTGAAGTATAATGTTGGAAAAAATTTATGAAATATTAATATGTTTCATTTAGTGATGCATTTACATATATAGACTTCACAATGAAACATGAAAATATATCTAAATGAGGAATTCAAAATATTTTGAGTGCATCAAGCATATTTAGGAAAATAGGGACAGCAGATTTGAATCTGGTTTTGAAAATGTAGTGGTATTTAACATATTTTTGTGGCATTGTATTTCTGACAAGAGATATTTTTCTGTCTTCTATCCAAAATCTTTGGCTGGTTCCTATAATCATATGGTGTCCTGGTTTAGCCAAATAGAGTGTCTTACCCTGCTCCTTAGTGCAAGAGTTCTAGCTCCCCTTCAGCCACATGTCTTTCCTTTTCTTGTAGTTTCTGGGACTGTTTCTGGGTGCATGACAGACTTGTGCTGGACTCCTCAGCTGAGCTCTGTGACAGACTTTTACAGCTCCCTGCTACAATATGCTGCCAAATTCCTGCCCAGAAAGGTCTCCTAAGTTGTCCATGTCCTGGCTGTTTAAAGGATCTGTGTGAGCACTGACCCACTGATATATCCACATCCCCTTGTCTTAACTAGCAGCAGTTCTGCTGCTTCTCCTTTTCCCTTTTCTCACTGCTGTCAATGCTGGCACTAAAAAAAAAGAAAAAACCAAAACCAAACTTTAAGCTGCTCTGTCAAGGTGTATATTCAGACACTAAGTGCAGAATATGTCTGACTTCAGACCCTTGCTTCTGGAAAGAACTTATTAGGCCAGCACTCAGCATTAACCTTCACTCCCCTAATTAGATTTTGTTTTGTGCTTCAAATATTATTTCCTTACTCCATGGTCTTTAACAGCATGGGCCTCTATCACACCAGAGAGTCCTTGCCTCTCCTTGAGATAGGCAAGATGGTTGCAGTGAGAGGACTTGGACATGCCTTTTACAAGTAAAAACATTCACTGCACTAGTGGTAAGAGAGGAAAATAGAAATGTCATGATGGTTTGTCTCTGATGGCATCCAGACTGGCTGTCTTTCTGGAAATCCCAGTCTGTTTGTCAATTCCATTGAACTTTGGGGAAGAAATGTATAAGGCATGGCTAAAGAAGTTGATTTTGGGAAGTGATTCTGGGGCATTAGCACTGCCTGCTTTCTGGATCATGGCCAAACCTTACGGGAGTGCCCAAAACCTTAGGAGATTGCTCTGACTGCTGAACAGATAGATTTTGAGTAAATTATTTATAAAGGGGGTTTAGGAAACAATTCAGATATGTGAGCTTCCACTCCTTCTGCTGTGGGGTACCAGATTTCATGTCTTCATGCATGATGTCTCATGGCGGGCCTCATGCTGATTGTCTTTTGTCTTTGTCTTGATAAATTGTTTTAAAAAGAGAGCAAAGATGCTTGGCCCCATTTTTTGACATGGAGGTACAATTATGGAGTCAAGGAGGATAGACCCCCACACTGATGTCAACAACATTTAAAACAAGGAAAAACTGAGACTAGTTTGAGGTTGTGGCAGACCTTTCAGATAAACTAATCCAAGCATGAAAGGAGGTGCCTAACATTTTCATTCAAGGTAGGATGTGAAAGTAATAAAAGGTTAAAACCAAATCCAAGAGCAGATTTAGGCAGAGTGAATAAAGTGAGCATCTTTGTATCTGTCTGGTACTTAAAGCCTTTTGGAATGTGCTTGTGTGTTTTGCAATAAAACGTCAATGAACAAAACACATAAAGGTAGGGCATCTCTTTCAAGAGATCTCACTGAGACACAGTTATATTCTTCCAGTTTGCCATCACTCTCCAGACTTGTGATCCTCCTCTTGGCCTGACAGTACCTAATCTTGGCCAGGAGACACCTCACTGTTATCAAGCCTCCTTTCATGAACCATCTTCTGAGGATATGGCAGGTGACACCATGTTCTCCTTAGCCTGAGAGACAAACACCCAGGTCTTTGAATAATAGGTAAGTACTTTAAGCACAAGCATTTAGCACAAACAGCAATAATTTAGCAAAAATATCTCATCCAGGATGAGACACAAGTAGGGCCTATGAAAAAAAGAGAGAGATGGCTGTCTGTGCTTGAATGGGTGGCTCAGGTGCCTAAAGTTTTGGAAAGAACAGTTTTCTTTTTCTCCTTGACATGTGTTCAGAGTGAGCTGGAGGGAAGCATCTCAGCCCCTGTGTATGACAGTGCTTCAGACAAATCCCACTCTGATCTCTGCCTCCACCTCTGAACCCTCTGTTTGCAGCACCGGGAAAATAAGTGGTGCTTACAAGGCTGTGAATTCTGCTCTCACAGCCAAGACCTTCCACACTAGAGTGTAACAACGTGTGGTAACATCAATGTATAATCTTTAGTTCATGGAAGTAGAAAAATAGCCTCGGGAAACAAATACTATCATAAAACAGGTGTGGGAATGGTAACAATTTTTTTCCCTTCTGACCAGTACATCTAAAATTATCATTTCAATTAAGACAAAAATACTACAAATATTTGGGAAGAGTTCTAAATGAAAGTCACCTGTAAACTCACCATAAGGCTAGAAATAATCCTGAGATCCTATATACAGACTATCTACTCCCAAACATAAACTTCTCTCCCAGAACAAGGAATGAAGGAAATTCAAAGGAACAAATGTGCTCTTCATCTTTTCATACCCTCTAAGCTGTAAACTTTTTCTGACATGAGTTATCTCTATTGATACTTTGGTACAAAGCCAGCAGAACAGAATTATAAAATGTAGAGTTTTAACTTTGTATAAATGTTTACTGCTTCTGAAGACAAATTCTGTGTATGAGAGCCAGAATGGACCTTGAACACTTTATCAGCTGGTATCACTACAAATACTGAAGGGTTTTCCTGCAGGTTCTATTTTTCACCCCCTTTCTCTTGTTTCCTTCTCCTTTGAGATGCTCCATTTTGCACGTTTCTCATTGTCAAACGTTTTTAAATTGCTTCTGGCAGAAGCATTTTACAAGTGGGGAGGATGCCCCAGGCTTCTTCCCGGAAAATAGGAGACTCTGTGTGTGGGGAGGCTGACGCCAGCTATGCAAACCTTGTAGCTTTGCATTTTAAAAAGTATTTTTTTGAGTAAACAATGGAATCCATTATTTACAGACTGTATTGTAAACATCTGCAGCAGAGAAGCCTTCTTATTGTATGCCTGTAATGACAAGGGCAAACCCAGCACAGGAAGAAGGAAGGACCAACCCACTTAACAGAATGAGACTTATTTGAATGCATTTTAAAGCCACCAACAAACAATCAATGGTTTAGCTGACACAGGACATAAGCAAATAAGAAATATTAGGATACCTACGTGACATTCTGGCTCCATCAAAACCAGCAGGATGTTTGAAATTGGCATTGGAGGTCAAGGCTTAGGTTCTAATCTTTTTTCCTACAAAAACCGAAAAGCAAAACAACTAAAATTGCTCAGCTTATATTATAAAAAGAATGTTAAAACTTTGGCTTTCTGACTGATTGAGGTACTTAACACACTTTTTAGACACTTTGATAATTACAGAAAAACTGTAGTGAATATTGTGCTGCCTCTAAAAAAGGAAATAAAACGATTCCTTTATGGACCTTGGCAAAGGACATTTCCACATTGTTACTGGCTGGCTGAGCTCTTGGCCTTAGGTCATCTGTTGTTTCAACTAGTCATTAGTGCTTTTGACTTCAGTTGTTGTCATTGCCTTGGAACTGCACTGAGGAGAGATTGTCCACCACTCTTTGCCCTGTTGTACAAAGGCAGTCTTCCAGGAAAACCCCACAGTGTTTCTGCTATTTCTCTCATCCCTGCTCTGCGGCTCCAAAGAATGTTGGGGAAAATGTTTGCTGCCATCTTTTTACAGCAGACTGAATTTGTAGCTTTTTTTTCCTCTCAAAAATACTCCCTACTTCAGCTGTTGAAAGCAGCCAGAATTAGAATTCAGATTTGGTTCTCTTCTTTTTTAAAAAATTTTGTTTCTGCATGGTTAATTAGATACAATAATCTGCTTTTACAATCTTATATCATCAAACCTTTTCCTAATTTACATTGCCTGTTGAAGCTAGTCCATTTGCAGTCAAAGCCATAGAGAGCTTCCCTCCTGCCGTAGTCTTCTTGTCTTTGCTCACACTCCCTTGAGGCTGCCCAGATCACCAGACACTTTCCACTTTCCACAGGCATTAGACAACAAAGACCTTGGTGGAACTGGAGTTAGTGTCACCAGCACAAGATGTGAAAACCTGAGCGTGCTTCTGCAAAACTCAATCCCAACTAATGTTTTTCAGCTAGTTTTAGCTAAAAAAGGTTACCTTTCCCCATGCTCTAGAGAAGCAAGTCAAAGAATGTAGAATAAATGCTATTTCTTGCATGTTAATATCTTGCCTGTCTGTAGGAAGCTTGTAGGAGGCAGTGGGAGGTTAGTCTTCAAAAATACTTCAGACTACTCAACTTTGCCTCAGTCAGAAAAAAGTTAGTGATACTCTCCATATCAGCAGTTTATTAAATGGTGCACTATCACTGTCTAAAGTCACTGTTATAAACAGTTGTACTTAAAAAAACTAAGCCAAGAATTTTCCATCTTCTCATTGTCTAAATTTAAAGCTCATCAGTTATAAACTTGCAAACATCAGTGCATATATTTGAACAAGCTAAAAATCATGTTTCTATGTAAGTTTCTTTTTATTTCCATCTTTCAGCCAGTAGGAAGTCTTCTCTGGGACATCAGTCAGAATGTTGCAAAAATGAACAGGATTTTATTACTCACAGTGAGCCCTACTGTGTCTTATGAAGAATTCCTCTGTACAGGACTCCAAAGGTAGGAATAACACAAGAGCCCGTGAGATTTATTTGCCAAACTTCTAATGATTTTTTTCCTTTTCTTGCTGATTGTTAAAGTAAACACGCTTAACAGAGTGGCTTGATTTACTGAACACAAATTATTGCACGGACAACTACGTATGGCACAAGTGAGCACACTTGCTGTATTCATTGGACTGTGACACTCCTGTCATAACCAGGGGTGGATCTTGCCTGGAGCTGTTAGCCAAGAACAATCTCTTCAACAAAAAGGAATTTCTGGTGGCTAACAGAACAATTATTCTAATTTTACAAGCTAAAAACTGGTCAAGACATAGACTCAGAGAAGCTGGAGATGGTTTGCCCTTCCTGTAACAATGCAAGAGTGTTCCCCACACAGCAGTTTATGCAATGCAGATTTTATACAGTCTACTCTGATTTTAAACACCATAACTTTACAGGTTTCCATGCACTTTTCATGGTATGCTGTTCACAGTCTAACAGACTGTAAGAAATAATTGTTGCTTTTCAACCTACAATTTCTTTTTTAGGTGTAAATCATGACTGTCAATACACCCCAATGATTCTGTCTCCTCTCACTTTATAGAACCCTCAATACCTTCTGGGACAACATCATTGGAACCACCACATTCCTGCTAGACAGGCTGTCTGGATGTGGCATTTTCAACTAGACCAGAAATCAGTGTTGGCAAATAAGAAGGAAAACAGGACAGGAAAAGATAAACAGGTTAAAAAATGCACGCTTATAACCATATTCTTCAATAGATTGAAATGTTACCTCTGTTGCCCAGGGTAGCATTTGCATGTTTATAAGCCCAATTCTGGCTGTAGTCAGGTAGACATTGATTGACCTAAAGCTGTGTCAGTACCAGCAGAAAAGGCCAAGTGACCATGGCAAAGTCATCCACTGCTTTCTTTTGCTGAGTTCACAGCTGGTGACCCTTGTTCAGTGCCTAATCCCAAAGGTCACATTTTCCTAAGCATTTACTTCTAAAATATTGACTTAAAGTGATGGGACAAAAAATGTGGACTGGATACCTGTAGGAAGGGAAATGGTTTAGCAACTGCTGTGAATGCCAGCAAATCTGCAACACTGAACTTGAAAAGCCCGGTCTAGATTTGTCACATCCTATAAAAACCCTTGTACATTTTCCCACAGAATAAATGTAAAACAAAATTTAGAGGATGATATTTTTTTCCTTTTTTTTTACCTCAGAGTAGTACTTTAAAGTATTTAACATAGTCAAATGAAACTCATATTAATGATGAAAAAGTTTAGGTTCCTGTGGCAACTTATATTTAACTACCTTAATGAAAAAAGTTTAAAAAATTATAATTTTTCCAGAGGTATAGTGATTTTTTTCAATCTAATAGCAGGAATCATTTATATGCTAATGGCACATAAATTAGCAAATCTCCTTCAAATATTAACATTAACGTATAATGCTGTGAACTTTATGTGAAAATTGTGGGACATTATGTTCTTTTGGCATTCTATATGTGTGCATTTCTCACCTTAAAATAAAAGCCACTAATGGTGATGGTTTCAGTCCAGTTTAATCCATAGTCTTCTCCAGCATAACCAAGTGATCTTTTAAGGCAGCCTAGGACAGGCACTTGGCTTAGTCAAGCCTAACAGTCCTGGAAAGGGAAGAAATACAACACCAGCATTGTTAGGATATGTAAGAGTAACTTCAGGCTTGTAGTGCAGAAAGGAAAGGAAGATTTTGCTTTAAGTGTTTCGGAATCATTAGAATCTCAGAACCAATAAGGTTGGAAAAGGTCTCTAAGATCATCAAGTCCAGCCATTAACCTCATATTTCCATGTCATGTTTTAATTATATTTGTGAGGAGCACAAGATTACTGCGCTCTTACATGTTGTACAGTCACTGCAGTGAAGGAAACTTTGACACAGACTACATCTAGCAGATGAACCATAGAATTAGATAAGTCCAGGTAATGCTCATTGGGAGCTGAAAAGTGGGGTGAGATGCTCATATTTCCTCCTGAAACACAGTTTATACCAAAAACCTGTGTGTGAAGTCTAATGAGGGACATTTAAGGACAGAAGTCCATATTGTAAAAAAGATGGAGAGGAATGAAATTGGTGTCCTGCCTCACCTCTCACAAAGCTTTCAGCTCGATCTGATGGAAAATGCCATTCCTACAGTGTTTCGTTTCTGCCTAAGGACAGACATTTTTCAGGGCCCTTCTCTGCAGCTGTCTTACATCCTAGCTGCGTGGGTTTCATCCCTTATGTCAGATCCATAATAACATCATTAATAACATTAATTCATTATCCTATGGAAGTAAATTTCAATCCAGTAGAGGCAGCATCGGGAGGCATATGGCAAGTAGCCTGCAGCAAACTAATCTGCTGACAAACCCCTCCTATCTCTCAGTGCTGTGACTTTGCCAAGGCCTTTTGTTTTTTCCAGTGCTTCAGCATATCACTTCGATTACGTGTGTTTAGAGAAGGGTAGGCTTCTGTAACATTTTCTCTGAAATTAAATCCCAGTGCTTTCATTCTAGAAGTGAAAATCCCTCCTAGAAATTCTTTCCAGCCTCTGAGTGCCCTTTATAGGTACCCTGCAGCTACAACGCCGTGGTAACACAGTCCCCGTGCTTTTCAGCTCAGCTGTTCAAACACGAGGGTGACCTGGACAGTTAACACTCAATCCTTTCATCTGTCCCGCTTCAGCTCTTTAGAAACAGCTCTTCATGCTCTGCTCATTTGTATCAGGGCAAGTTTGAATCAATTTCTGTTCATTATGACACATCATCTCCGGGAAATACTTATAAATTATATTTAAAAAAAACCCCTTATAATTGTTAAGGGAATGAGGCAAACAAGCAAGCAAGTAAATGTTGACCAGTGCACGTAATCCAAAAGTTTAGTATCACTGTGCTGGAACAGAGCTGCCTGAAAGAGAGAGGAAAGAGCAGAATTTTTGTCCTTTAAATTCCAATATTAGAACATCTCAAGGGACAGGCATAGTCTCTTTGGAGCAAATATATGCCTTTTGCATTTCGACACCATATGCAAATGATTCAGAATGTGTTTCAAAACTTGAAATTTGCAAAGCTTTCTTCATTCTCCAACTGTACAATATAAAGAATTTTTCAATGGTATCCTGTTGAAAAATGTGACACTATGTGCACAGACTGATCATCCATTTCACTTATTAGTCCTTTGCAAAGGCAAAAGAGGATGAAATCAGAAATATGAGTCCAATTAACAGGACAGTTGAAACTGAACTTGCTCAGAAATCAAAGTTAATGAGAGACAAGAAGGAAAAACATCCCAAAGAATTTTTAATAAACTTTTCTATTCGAAACACCAACCTGAGCAAGGAATTCAGATTTCAAAAACAACGTAGATCACACTTTTCACCTGTCTTTGCACTGCATTTCACCGCAGTGGTTTTAGGGCATCATCTGCTGCCTGGAGTTTCATGAACTGGAGAGATGTGCTATCATAACAAAGCCCTGCTGTGACCTGTTTCATCACAGTCACATTTCTCCCCACATGTGGTTGTTTTTTGGTGCTTCATAAAAGCAAATCACACATACAGAGGTTAAGACTACATGATGTTGTCTGATAAAAAACATAGCATAAAGCCAATCTATCCATAATATCTGTGTTAATAGAAGCTTTAGGTCACTTTTTCCAGTCAGATGGTGCCTGATCTCATGTCTGTCCAAGATTATGGCAAGATTCCCATTGCATTAGTGGATACTGGATCAGCCCAAAACTCACAACAAAAGGAAGCAAAGAAAGGAGACTGCAGGCACATACACAGTGTGCAGAGTTTACTCTCTGTGATTCACAGAAGTAGAGGTGCTGTGCTTCCTGGAATTAGCATTTTTCCTCAGCCATGAAGGCTGGAGGGGAAGGAGGTGGGTCTATCATCCAGCTCTACCTTGTGTGCCAAGAGGTTGTAACCATTGGGCACAGGTGTGGCTGCGCCCAGGCCCTGAGATCCTGCACTCCTGTGTCTCCCATGGCATAGATTCAGGGGGAAGGAGGGGGGGTGTGATCCCCCAACATATGGGAAATCTTGCAGCTAGGCCACCTCCTGCAGATGATGGAAAGGGAATTTCAGTTGTAGAGTCCTAGGCCTTGCATATTTGTAGAAGAAAGCATGTGGATGAAATAGATAACATTACTAGTTCTGGAGTCAGGGAGAGGGAGGCTTTGGACACAATTCATAAGCCACGTCCCAGATGAGGCCTTGGAGCACACATAGACCTGAAGATCCATTCTGAGTGAGGTATCATTTTAGGAAGTTGGTTATTGAGAACAGACACCTACAAAGTAAGTGTAGTCTTGTAAGTAGCAGCATGTCAAGTTTGTAAATCTGAGACTTGTCTGGCAGCTCTCATCCTAGACACGAGCTCTTTCTAAACTCAGTGTTCTTAGGTGGCTTGGTGCTCCAGGGCAAATCTTTGACTGATTCTCAAAAGACAAACTGTAGACAGATCTTACCCAATGTGGATTTATTATGCTCAAGCACATCTCAAATCTCCAAAGCAGCAAGTTTAGCCTTGTGGTTCGTTAAACTGTTCATTAGACAGTTTCCCTCTTCAGAACTCGTAGGTGCATTTATGAGATGGAGTACCTTGCACTAGCAGGAGGTGATATTTAATGATAGATCTCAGACCAGCCTTGTCTTAATAATTTATATAGGTTCTCTAATCAAAAATGCTATTTTCCACTGTCTGTGAAACCTTTGCCTATTTCCTAAGCCTACCATTTCACTATCATTCTTTGAATCACCAACTTTATCTGCATCTTTACTTTGTGAATACATTGCTCAGAGGTAGATTTGGCCAGCAAAATGATTGGTGGGGAAAAAAGGACACCTTTTTTCTCTCTTATCAAAACAGCCAAAATAGCATTTACTGCTGATTGTGATGCTGCTAATAGGAATAATGAAAAAGTATGCAAAAGACCTACATCAGCATAGTCAGGTTGACTACAGATGTAGAGATCCCTCACTTCATCCCATGCATAACAGACTGAGAGAGCTCTTAACTAAAGTCTCTTTAGTCTTGTGCAAGCTGCTGTGAATAATGCCCAAGCTCTGCTCAAGATACAATCTGAGCACAGTGACTGCTGCATTCCCAGGAACAAAGTTTTAAGATGACAAATTCGCATGCTTTTATCTGAAGGCAGAATCTGACTTTCAGTGTCTTGATAACAGGTGACATATTAAAGAGAAAGCATCAACATAACCTCAATTGCCCATTGTGACTTCGTGTACCTGGCAAGCAGAAACTTTACCCTTTCACCCGTCACTGAAATGATTTGATATGGAAATTAGGCTGGAATTCCAAAGGGCCATTGTCACAGTTATTCACACTGACTTCAGTGACTATTGCCATAATAAACATCACTCAAGCACCGAGTGCCCCATCCTGACGGATTGCTTCATTAACTAATAATTGCAAGCCATTACCAGTTTGACCCTGTAGGGTGTGTGCTCTCTCCCCTAGCTCTCAAATAATTGCCTGGCTACTAGTGAAGAAACCACCATTACTATTTTTAAAACTTTCATCAGAAGTTCAGAAAGTTTCTTGCAATGCACATTTTTATTTGCTAAAATGAAATTCCTCCAGTTTTAATAGTAAGTGTTCAGAGTGCATGTGTGTGTCTGTGTGTGTTTGTAGTCATACAGCTCTGGGAATGACAGGTCTATACTGTGTAATACACTTTAGGATTATCTGAAGATTATTTTATTCCAGTGGTTCATCATAAAGTTGGTTTAGTTAGAATGTAAACCATACTCTAAACATTTGCAAAAATATATACGTCAATAAATGTTTAAGAGAATTAGAAATGTTCTAATTGAAAGCAAAGCATTGGTCCCACAACACCAAAAAAGTTCTTCTATTACTTGTAATCACAGTAATAGGGTCTGCAGCTCTTTCAGAGCTGGATTAATGGCTGGAAAGCAGCATATCTAGAAAGCAAATCAGTCCACAGGTATTGCCCAGATATTCCAAACTCTCTTGGCTGACATACATGCAGTTCCTGTCCAAGGGTTAGAGAATAATTGAGCACTTACTACCTTGAAGCCAAACCAGGACACAACATTGGACACATTGTACTTCTTTGGAGTTTCCTCAGTACCCTGGAGGGTCCCAGTCTGTCTGTCCTGGCTCTTCCTGAATCATGCAGCTCCTCCAAGTCCCAAACAAAGGATGCTCAATGCAAATAAAAAGATAGGGAGATAATGATGTCTTCTAAATATTTGCTATGGGTGGGATTTTCCTCACCATGTGATATAGGGGAAAACTAGATAAGGCACAGTCACCTAAACCAAATGTCCCTCACAGATAAATGCTAGTCAGCAGACAGGCTCTGATTTAAAGTATCAGAACACAGTAAATGTAATCAAAAGGAGATGAGTAAAGGCAAGCTTCTGACAATAGTCACTGGATTTGATATCAGATCATGTGTTTGGGATCCATTTTTGCTGTTGTAGGAGCTTCATGAAAGCACTATAGTGCTTTAAGGATCATTCAAGTGGCATGTGACTGCTAAGGGGACTTGGGAAGGAGAGAGCTGAAGGATGGGGAGATTAATGCAAAGATGGAATATATGGAAGGCCCATTTACCTGTCTCAGTATAAAC